CAGGAATCCAACGTATTGCGAAGCGCGTGGCAAACGTGTCTCGTCGACGGGCAGAGCAATCGGGGCAATCTTTCGCCGAGGAGTCGTGCCGTGAATTAAAGTTAAAGTCACTAAGCTGTACCGAACGACGGAAGCCTCGCATCGCACGATTTTCGAGCCGATCGCAAGGGTACGTGGCGCACGGCGCCCGTGGGCGCCCGCGAAATAACCTATATCTCAACGTCCCAAATGACTGAATACCTGTGAATACCGGAACGCAGCCTAGGTAAACGTTTTTGAACGTGATCTAACAACCAAATATTTAAGAATATTATAATGGTGGAAAGCACATACCAACGTGTTGTTGATCTGGTTACTGGCTCCCGGCTCACCGACACTGAACCACGCTGAACCGACACGGCCACGACGAACCGAGTTTTAATAGAATTGCTTGATATATACTTGCTAATACACTGTCTAATGGTTTGAACAGTGCTATGACCCGGTAACCAGGCCACGCGCGGGATGATGCAATCAAATAATGCAGGATAAAAAATTTCTCCTCGGACGGAAGACGTGCAAACAGCTCAACGTCCCAAACAGAACTACATACCGACCGTGTCACTCCATCTTCATATTTAGTTCATTCGCCATTTCATGGCTAACGTTGTCAGTAAGCAGCATCAGGCTATACAATTGCTCCATAATACGTTTTTTTCACGCTTCGAGCACTTACTTTTTTTCACGCACACACTTCGCACGTGCGTACAACGTCGCGAGAGAGAAGAGTCTTAATAAATCTCGCGCACTCAACAATGATTTTATACCGTTCAAATCAGGATGTTTGCGGCGACAGATAATCGCAGACAGACGTCTAATCGCAAGGATATTGCGTAACCGTATCGATATAACCTACAAATCGGGAAAATTGCTGCGATGGGTAACTTTTGGCGTCGTAGACAAAGCGGAAACGGGTAAATGTGCATAAAAAGACCCCACCTGCCGATGACCTTGACCTTGACATATGTTGTCAAGGTCACCCTCCTGAGTAACTCTTAGAAGTTTTTAGCCGGCTGTCGTTATTCGTTAGAAAGTTATTAACAAAACATTGTCGACCAATGATATGTAATTTTCAGACACAAATATTAAAAATTTTGAAATCTTATATCTGTCCTCTCATCTAAGCATGTGCTTTGTAGTACATATACAATTTCATATAGATTTGCGACTTTTCATATGAAGCAAGATCCACTCCACACCTCTGACATAGTGTGGGTAGGGTTATATCTTAATGAAGTGGAGCCCCCCCGCAGGGGGGGGGCGGAACGTACTGTCTCCACGCATGTACTTCCACCGTTGTACTGTTCCACATACGTGGAGACAGTACGTTCCGCCCCCCCTGCGGGGGGCTCCACTTCGTTAAGATATAACCCTACCCACACTATGTCCGAGGTGTGGAGCGGATCTCGCTTCACGTGGAAAGTCGTTTGCGAGAAAGAAGAGTTATTCGTGGTCTATAGGTAATCGGCGGATATGAACGCGATATCCATGCGACGCGACACCACCCCACACCGACCCCTGCCTTCAGGGCGAAACTAGATCCACTCGTTCGACTTCCATGCGAAAATGCTAATAAGTTGTTGATAAATTGAAGTCTTTTTTTTAAAGCAGAGAATACTTACATGGGTTAGATAGAAACAGTTGAATACTTTTAAAGCGCGTCATCTAACCCATGTAGAACGAGGTGCCACATGGGTTCGTGGCGCGCTTTACAAGCTCGTTTATATACAGGGTGAGGGAAAAGTACCGGACCGGTAAAATATCTCGAAAAATATGGGAGATACGGAAAAATGTTTCAGACGAAAGATGTACGGTTTTAAAAGTGCTATATAATGGTAAAATTAATGTTCCAAAAAAATTAATTTTTTATGATTATATGGAGGTCGCCGCCATTTTTTTACATGGAACTCCCTATTGTTTATTATACTATTTTATTCTACTAATTAATATGAACAACTTTTGTCTGAAACATTTTTTGATTTGCCTAATACTTTTTGAGATATTCAAGAGAAAATTTATAACTTTTTCAATGTTTAGCTTATAATCTCTCGATAACTGTTTGTCGGAGGGAAAAGTAGTATAGGACTTTTTTTACTTGATTTAGTCTCAAAACTATGCTGTTGTAAAAGTGTTCCAATATTGCAACACATAAAATTTACATACACAAAATTTTTCAATAATTGAAACACCATTGCAACAACATATTCCTGAGACTAAATCAAGTAAAAAAAGTCCTATACTACTTTTCCCTCCGACAAACAGTTATCGAGAGATTATAAGCTAAACATTGAA